TGTGTGTGTGTGTGTGTGTGTGTGTGTGTGTGTGTGTGTGTGTGTGTATTCCTGTGTTTTCAACATGTGGGTATTCAGAAGACAACCATCATGCTGTTTGTTGTGTTGAGTCATTGTCTCTCACTGGTCTGGAACTCACTGGCTAGTCTGGCTGTCCAGTGAGCCTGGGGATCTGTTTGTGTATGTCTCTCCATGCCCAACACTGCGATTGCGTGCAAGCCATCATGGCTGGCTTTTAAGATTTATCATGTATACAATGTTCTGTCTGAATGTACACCTGCATGCCGGAAGGGGGCATCAGATCTCATTATAGATGGTATGAGCCACCATGTGGTTGTTGGGAATTGAACTCAGGACCTTTGAAAGAGCAGCCAGTGCTCTTAACCTCTGAACCATCTCTTCAGTTCTCATGTTGGATTTTTAAAAGTGGGTTTTAAGCTCCAACTAAGGTCTTCATGCTTGCAAGGCAAACACTTAACTGACTGAGCCATCTCCCTAGCCCCAGGTTCTCTTCTTAATGATACACTCTTAGACCACAGTCTGCAAAGAGAGACATTAGAGAGGAGACTAGGACTACAATTAACAAATATAAAACTTCTAATGTTGCTTGATAGGAACAAGCATTTACTTATTGATTGGTTGACTGACCACGATGCTAGAGATTGAATGGATGGACTTGCCCACGGCAGCCAGGTGATCTATCGCTTGAGCAATGTTCCTAGCTCCAATGTTTAATATTTAAATTAAAATCTTTGCAAAGTACCTGCCTTTACCCACTTTATACCACTTATCATTCTAATTCTAAGCCGACATGACTATCTCCATTCAGAGATTGGGGAACTGAAGCTTAAATAATTTGCTACAGTCACACAACCACTGAATGCCAGTCAGCACTCCAAAAGCAAGGATGCTGGGTTCAGTGGGGTGTCTTCTTTGGAGGCTGGAAGAGGAAGGGTGCTATATATAGCCATACTTGCTAGACTTCTCCCTGCAAGGACCGGAGACATGGCTCAGTAGTTAAGAGCACAGGTTATCCTTGCAAAGGATCTAAGTTCATGTCCCAGCACCCACACAGTGGCTCACAACCTTAAAACTTCAGTTCCAGGGGATCTAACGCTGTCTTCTGACCATCCCGGGCACCAGAAATGCATGTGGTACCAAAAAAAAAAAAAAAAAAAAAAAAAAAAAAAAAAAAAAAAAAAAAAAACTCATACATGTTAGAATAAAATCAATAAATTTAAAAATAAAATGTAAAAGCCCTTACAGGGCTTGCAGAGAGGGGGCAAAAGTGACAGCAACCAGGCATGTCTGCATCTAGCGCTGAGTGGAACTTCTCCGCACGGTGCTCTCTCGCAGTCTGTTCTGAGATGCTTAGTCCACTCCGTCAGCACCAGGTGTGTTCTCCTGCCCCATCTTCAGCCGTTCCTGTGACATACCCCTCCCCAACACACCTTAGTCATCACCATGGGCCAAGAGTGCTGAGGAAAGGCCAATGGCCTTTTCTTTGGGGTGGGGGATGGCCCAATGAGTAAAGTGCTTGCTCTACAAACACGAGGACGTGCTTCAGACCCCCAGAACCCACATAAAGCCAGGCGTAACGTCTCACATCTGCACTCCCAGCATCCCTGTGGAGGAAGACCAGTCCGGGGGAGCTCTTGGGCCAGCTATCCTGGCATGGGCAACAACGCTGAGATCTGTCTGGAACAAGTAGGAAGGCAAGGACCAGTTGTCCTCTGACTTCTACACACATGCCCTATACACATACACACAGACATACATGTATCACACACACACACACACACACTCTCTCTCTCAGAGATTTATAAACTAACAGAAACAAAGAAAAACTAAACCTTGGTTAGCAGTGTCTGCGGGAGCAGACCGCGAGAATGCACTGGCTGTTCCCAGAGAAAGGAGATAGGAAGATGCTGGCTTCCGAGTCCATGTAGACCATGTCCCCCATCAGGCAGCTGATTGAGCGGACAAAACTGGCCCCACCCTCCACAGCCCCCTTGGTCCTGAGGATGAGTTTCCCACCCCAACTGACTGGACAGGATCCACCTGCAGAGTGCACCTGGGCTGAGGGAGGCCTCCTACCTGATATTGTCTCCAGGCCCAGATCTCCTTTCTTCTCTTTGGAGAGTTCCTGCAGGCACTGGGCCTGTTCCTCCAGCAGCACTCGCCGCACATCACACAATCGGGGCAGAGATCCACCCTGCAGGTCGAAGAGCCGAAGGAAGAGCTGGGGTTCGCATCAGCGCTGCTAACAGAGCCTGCCTTCCTCAATGGAGAGCAGGTGAGCTGACAGGATGGTGGGGGAGGGGTGAACGTCAACTCCCACGCTGGTCTCACTCCCTTTAGCTCCAGTGTTGACTGAGGATGACCTCATTACCACTAGAAAGACCCAACTCTCCACCTGGCCTCCTTAATACCACCACTCTGTAAAGGAGGCGGGATCTTTGCTTCTTCTGGTTGGGGCCAAAGTCATCTCCATGGATACCAACCCTCTGCCGGGGATGAGAGAGAAAGAAGCACCTAAACCCCCACTCTCCTCTTTAAGGGTACACCTACAATGACCTCCCACTTGCTCCCCACTTAAAATGTCCATCATCTCCCAATAGCGCCAAGCATGGTAACTCTTCAACACACGGTATCTGGGGAAGCTTCCAGAATCAATTTTTAGAAAAAATAAATTTGTGAGTGTAATTCTAGCAAGCATACACAAAGTTGTGTGATTAAAAAGTCTATGGTGCCGACAAAAAAAATTCAATAGTCTATAAACGCATAGCGATGCCTCTTGTTTCTTGGCCCTTGCTCAGCCTGTTCTCAGTGGACATTATCAAGCCAAAACTACAGCTAAGACCCTCTAAAGACTAATGTTCGTTCCTCCCCAGAATTGGAGTGCCTACCCTGTAGCTTGCAAGGTCACAGCCCCCATGACTTTGTAAGCCTGCCCGCTTTCCTGAATTATTCTGAAAAGCTCAGCTTTGCCTTTCCTTCTTTGCACTTTCATTCTAAGCATGCTTTCTCTGGCCGTTGTGGCTCTTCACACTTTTTCCTAAGGTCTCTTCACCATCGTGTGGCTGCATAAGTGCTGTGTGGCCAGCTCATTGTCGCGCCAGCTTACCTCAAATGACACCTTACCTCAAATGACATATTTTCCTTCTCTTGTCTCCATTCTCCTCCTCCAGGCAGCTGCTGAGATTTACAGCTTACTTACCTGGCCTGGAATTTTTCTTTTAAACTCTAATAAAATTGACCTTGAGCTTCAAAAAAATGCATTTAAGGGACGGGGGTATGGCTCAGTTGGAAGCATTTATGTCGCTTGAATGAAGTCCCTGGTTAGGCCCTGGCACTGCATGAACTAGGATTACAGGTACGTGCCTGCGATTCTAGCACACGGGAGGCCGGGCCAGAAGACCAAGGTCTAAGTGAGATCCTGTCTTTAAAAAAAAGCAAATGGAAACGGAAAGCTCCAGTGCACCAGCCCGGGGGAACATAGCATTCTTGCCCAACGCACCGCACAGCATCACGTGGCTGACTACCAGCACCCAACGTCATCAGAAAGGAGACCAAGTATCTCTAGCAGGAGAAAGGATCCAAACGTAGAAGCCATGGCACAGCTTCTGTGGAATACTGGTCACCTTCCCACCGCTGTAACGTCACAGGCGCAGACTGGCTGGAGTGTCCCACAATGTGTTTAATCTGGGTTAGGAAGCCTGAGCTATATCCGCAACAACTGCATGCTCACATCCATGGGCCTTCACACAGGCTCCGGCTTCCCGGTTCCTCCCCAAACCGGTTGTCTCTCCATCTGTTGTTCTAGTTTATTCTTGGTGTGTGTGTGCGTTAATGCTTGTGCACGTGTGCACGGGCACACGTGCCTGTGTACAGAGGCCAGAGGTTGATCTCATCGGATCTTTATAAAATCTCTCTCCACATTATGTTTTGAGACAGGGTCTCTCACTGAGCCTGGAGCTCACTATTTCGGCTAGTGTCCGGGTGGTTTTGCTTGTTAACTTGACACAAGCTATAGTTACCAAGAAGAGAGAACCACAGTGGAAAACATGTGTCCATGGGACTGCCTGGAGGCAAGCCAGCAGGGCATCCTCTTGACTGCTAGTGAAGTGTCCAGCTCACTGCGGGTGATGCCACCCCCTGACTGGTGGCCCTGGGTGATACAGTGAGCCATTGGGAGCAAGAAGTGCCAGAAAGCACCACTCGCCATGGCCTCTGCGTCCATGCCTGCCTGGAGTTCCTGTTCTCACTTCTTTCCATGGTGGATTACAAGCTGTAAGAAGAAATAAACCCTTTTCTCGTCAGGGTGCTTTTGGTCATGGTGCTTTTATCGCAGCAATAGCCAGTTTGTCTTCAGTGTGAGCAGGGAGATTCATCCATACCTTTGGCATACTTATGGCCTTGAGCTGGGGAGATGGCTCAGTACTTGCAAGCAGAGGACCTGCCTTCCATGCCCAAAATCCGCATTAAAAAGAAAAAGGAGCTGGACATCATGGTCATGATATATTTTATACAGGGATGAAATTCTCATAGGTTAAAGGAAATTATTTTTTAAGGAGCCAGGCATGGAGAAGGGCACTTGTAATCCCACTGCTAGAGAGATGGAGACAGGAGGATGCCTGAGGCCCCCTGCAAAGTTCCAGGCCACTGAGACACCGACCCTGTGTCAAAACCAAACAAGGCAAGGTGGGCAGTGCCTGAGGATCAGCCAGCCCTGCCCTCTGCCTTCTACGTATGTACCTGCACACAGCACATACATGCACCCGTGTACACAATCATGCATACACAGGCACATGCGGGGTTGATAATTCTTCATGAAGTTTACAGGCGCGAAAGACATACGAAGATAAAAGAACTGCTGAAGTTTACCGAAAGAGAGTTTCTTTAAGCAGTTGAATCACACACGGAATTCCTATAAGCCCGAGTTCTTCCTCATTTCACTTGCACCCGACCTGAGAGTTTGAAAATGAAACTAGCCACACTCCCAAACTTTTGCCTGTTGCTCCCTCAGCAACTAGTTTTTTAGCTCCTTCTAGTGGCTCACTTTCATTTTTACCTCCATATTTTTAATTTGCAAGTTTTCAAACAGCAGTTTTGAGTTCCTCTCTCTCCTCCCCCTCCCCCACATCTCTATGTCTGTGTGTGCATTCATGCATGTTGCACACGGGTACATGTATATGTGTAGACCTGAGGATAGCGCTGCAAGCGTCAGGGCCTCAGATCTGTCCATCTTAGTTGTTCTGTTTTGTCTTGAGACAAGGTCTCTCCCTGGCCTGGAGCTTGTCAAGAAGTCTAGGCTGACTGGGCAGCAAGGTCACCACTATTTACCAATCTCTGCCTCTCATGCATGCCACTGTGCCCAGCTCTTTTCTTTTCATGTGGATTCTGTGGAATGAACTCATTTTTTAAATTATGTGTATGTATGTATGTATTATCGACCTACGGAGATGCATGTGGGTGCAGGTACCCACAGAGGCCAAAAGGGGGCGCCAGACGCCTGGGATGGGTGTTGAGGCAGTCATGGAGCTGCCTGAGTTTGTTCTTAGAATAGTGCTTCCTCAAGACCCAGCTATACCAATGCTAGGTATATACCCAAAGTTTGCTCAAGTACACAAAAGGGATATTTGCTCAACCATGTTTATAGCAGCTTTATTTGTAATAGCCAGAACCTGGAAACAACCCAGATGTCCATCAACGGAGGAATGGGTACAGAAATTGTGGTATTTTTACACAATGGAATACTACTCAGCAATCAAAAAGGAGGAAATCATGAAATTTGCAGGCAAATGGTGGGATCTAGAAAAGATCATCCTGAGTGAAATATCCCAGAAGGAGAAAGACAAACACGGTATATACTCACTTATATAGACCTATAAGATATGATAAACATAATGAAATCTATACACCTAAAAAAGATAATCAAGAGAGCGGACATGGGGTAAGATTATCAATCCTCGTTTTGAAAGACAGATGGGATGCGCATTAAACATTGACAGGAGTCTACTGAGATAAAAAAGATAATCAAGAGAGCGGACATGGGGTAAGATTATCAATCCTCGTTTTGAAAGACAGATGGGATGCACATTAAACATTGACAGGAGTCTACTGAGCGCATTTGAAAGACTCTAACTAGCAGTGTTTTCAAAGCAAAGACTCATGACCAAACCTTTGGCAGAGTACAGGGAATCCTAAGAAAGAAGGGGAGTTAGTCTGATGAGGAAAGGATAGGAGCTCCACAAGGACCAAATATATCTGGGCACAGGGTCTTTTCTGAGACTGACATGCAACCAAGGACCATGTATGAATGTAACCTAGAACCTCTGCTCAGATGTAGCCTGTGGTAGCTCAGTAACCAATTGGTTTCCCATAGTGAGGGGAACAAGGACTATTTCTAACAGGAACTCAATGGCTGGCTCTTTGGCCTCCCCACCCCCCAAGGGAGGAGCAGTCCTGTTAGGCCACAGAGGAGAGCTTTGCAGCCAGTCCTGAAGATACCTGATAAAACAGGATCAGATGAATGGGGAGGAGGTCCCCCCTATCAGTGGACTTGGCAAGGGGCACGGTGGAGATGAGGGAGGGAGGGACTGGGAGGGAATGAGGGATCAGGACACGGCTGGGATACAGAGTTAATAAAATGTAACTGATAAGAAAAAAAATAAAATTAAAAAAAAAAAAAGAACCAAACTGTGCAGGAGTGCTTACTCTTAACCCCACCTCCCCAGTGCCCCCTCCTCCCTCTCTCCTGCCCCATGTTCTTAAAACAACACTATTTCTTGGATCATTGGGATATCTCAAACTTCCTATTAAGGACGTTAAAGATTTCGATGTTTTAATTTCTCCCTAGAAACATTTCTCACTCCCAGATTCCGTACACTCCGTTCATATCATTTTTAGTGAAAGCAATGCTCAGTGTTTATAATGGCTTCTTTTGACAATGAAATATTGTTGGCTGTTGAAACAAGTCCCATAAGAGAGTTATGTGTCCTTGGGCATTTTGTTTTTTCTGAAGTCAATAATTGCTGTGCTTTTTCACTCAGTTAGTTTCTATGTACCTGTGGCTGACTTTCCTTTCCTCCTTTTCATATTTTTCTAGAATTCCTGTTGCTTCTTTCTTTCTTTCTTTCTTTCTTTCTTTTTTTTTTTTTTTTTTTTTTTTTTCCTGAGACAGGGTTTCTCTGTGTAGTCTTGGCTGTCCTG